CCCATGCAGAAGCACACAATCCTACATGCCACCCGCAGACTCGAGTCGATATTCTACAGAAAATATCTCAATGGAGCGAGGATTTCCGTGCTGATCCCATGCTGTTGCTGAGTGGAAAGGCTGGCACAGGAAAGTCGACAATAGCCCGTACTGCTGCTCGTTCTTTTGCGACGCTCGGTATTCTCGCTGCTAGCTTCTTCTTCAGAAGAGGCGAAGGCGATCGAGGTAAAGCACTTAGACTTGTTACTACGATTACCACACAGCTTGTAGAAAATCAACCCGCCCTAGTGCCATATGTCAAGGATGCTGTCAGAATGGATCCCAGGATCACTCAGAAGTCGATACGAGAACAATTCAACAAACTGATTCTCGACCCATTATCGAAGGCCCACACCGTAGAGAATCAGCCATCACTCATCATCGTTGTTGATGCGTTGGATGAGTGTAACGACGAAGACGATATCAAACTTTTGATTGAACTATTCTGCAGTCCAAGAACCACGCGAAATTTGCGACTACGATTTTTAACCACCAGCAGACTCGAGCTGCCGATTCGTCTCGGATTGAACACTGTTAATGGGGCATATCGAGACTTGACCCTTGACGAAGTTCCTTCCCATGTCATTAAGAATGACATAAAGATTTTTCTGGAGTACGAGTTCAAAAAAATTCGGAATCAGTTTAATGCTTCCGTAATTGAGGAACGAAGACTTTCAGCAAGTTGGCCTGTCCCTTCTGATATTCACAGTATCGTGGACATGGCCGATCCTCTTTTTATCGTTGCTGCGACTGTGTGCCGCTTCCTTGCAGATCGAAAAACCGGGAGCCCGCAGGGAAAACTTAACATGATTCTGGAACACAAAACAAAAAGTCTTGGTACTAAACTTGAGGCTACATATCTCCCTATCTTAGAGCACCAGCTCGCTGGATTATCCATTCACGAAAGATATACAACGATTGAGCATGTTCGAAGTATTGTTGGCTCGATGATTCTTCTCGCAAACCCGCTCTCCACGCATGCTTTAGCGGCGCTCCTAGACATATCTCAAGTCATTATCGATGATAGACTCGATCTGCTTCACTCGGTTCTGGTTATCCCCATGACACCTAACTCTCCTGTGCGCCTATTCCACCTTTCTTTTCGCGACTTTCTTCTGGATTCCGAAAATCAGGTTCACAATCCCTTTTTGGTAGACCAGAAGCAAGTTCACCAAAAGCTAGCCACACACTGCCTCCGGGTAATGAACGACCGCCTTTCAAAAGACAGTTGTGAATTGAAATGGGCGGGAGCATCCCGCTCAGGAATCGACCCCAACCTAATAAAAGAACGCTTTCCCGCTGAACTTCAATACGCTTGCCTTTTTTGGACGTACCACCTCAAGGAAGGATGCCAATATATCTGCGACATTACCCTGGTCCATAAATTCCTTCTTGATCATTTTCTCCATTGGGTCGAGGCTTTGAGCATTCTGGGTAGGATCTCAGAAGGCATCTCCTGTATAGAGACATTACTGTCTTTGCTCGAAGTAAGTTTTTACTGGCCCGATTGCACAGCACATAAGCTGACATATAAGCGGCAGACAGAAAGAGATGCCACACTGAAAAATTTTGTAACTGATTCTCGCCACTTTTTGCTTGCATACGCATCGGCAATCAACTTAGCGCCGTTGCAGGTGTACTTTTCAGCCCTCATATTTGCCCCAGAAACAAGCGTTGTGAAACAATCGTTCTTGAGAGAGCATCCTAACTGGATTTCCATTCTTCCTAATGGAGCTGACAGTGGATGGAGCCAATATGAATTGACCCTTGACAGACACAAAGACTCAGTGACCTCGGTCAATTTCTCCCACGACTCGAACTTCATTTTGTCTGGGTCTAAGGACAGAATGGTCCGAATTTGGTCGGCTAGGTCTGGTGAGCTGCATCGTACACTCAAGGGCCACGGAAAACCTGTCAGGTCGGTTGTTTTTTCGCATAATTCAGAACTTGTTGCTTCAGCTTCAGATGACCAGACGGCTCGGATCTGGTCGACCGCGACGGGCGAACTACGGAGAATACTTCAGCACAGCGATGTCGTCTTATCAGCCGTATTTTCACATGACTCGAAACTTGTTGTATCAGCCTCCAATGACAGTTTGGTTCGAATTTGGTCTGCCGATACAGGTGAGCTGCAAAAAGTGTTGGAGGGGCACCAGGACACTGTTAATTCAGTCGCATTTTCACACAACTCGGAGCTCATTGCATCTGCTTCAGATGACAAGACAATTCGCATCTGGTCGACTAGTACAGGCGAGCCGCAGCGCATCCTTAATGGCCATAACAGCCTTGTAACGTCAGTTGTATTTTCGCATGACTCAAAGATTATCGCATCGGGTTCATACGATTGTACAGTTCGACTCTGGACAGCCGATACTGGTGATCTCGCATTTACATTAAATGGTCATAAAGGAGCTGTTACCTCAGTAACACTCTCGCGTGACTCTACGTTCCTCACTTCGGCTTCACTCGATATGTCAATACGGGTCTGGTCGACACGTACCAATGAGTTGCAGCAGGCACTTCTTGGGCATCATCGAGGTGTGACCTCAGTCTCATTATCGAACGAGTCGAATCGCATTGCATCGGCCTCAGATGACAAAACAGTTCGCATCTGGTCGATTGATACATTCAATATTCATCAGGCGCTTGAGGACCAAAACGGAAGTGGTACCCAGAAGAATTTGTCATACGAATATGGCTCCTTGGAACCCCATAAGGAAACCTTTGAAATACGCACATTAAATGATACACGAAACTACGATACCGAAGAACGTCACGGTAATCTGGAAGTTAACATCGGTTTTTTAAGTGAACGAGTTCCTTTTTCTCGCCAAGATCTAGAAACTTTAGGTCATTTAGGATTCCTTGCAAGGAGGTATGGTGAAATGTGTGAAAAGGGCCCAAACCCTTTTGAAAACAACGACTGCGTGGGTCCAGGAATAAGCAAAGACAAGCGGTGGATAACCTGGCATGGTAGTAATTTACTTTGGCTCCCAGAAGAGTTCAGACCATGGTGCTCGGCCGTATTGGGATCTTCAATTGTAATGGGGTGCGATTCACGAAAGGTCTATCTTATAAAGATAACTGAGAAGACGAGGCAATAAATTGACGGTTCTCCTCACTACCACATATGATTTTCAAACCTACGCTCATAAATATTGTAGCTGGAAAAACGCCTCACGAACCAGAATTGGTCCATCCCGCTGCGGAAACTTCACCCCCATCGACCACCCAGAACTCGTATATTATTTAGTACAATTATCTTGGGGATAGCTACAGAATACACTTTTTTACACCTCTCCAGTCCTATAGATGATATCCTAATTGGTAGACTGTGTAATAACAGATATTATGGCAGGTTTTCCGAGTAAATTCTTATCCTAAAGGGGGTCATACGAGTGGATTTGACTAGACCTGGCAGTTTGGATGGGTTGGATTTGGGTTTGAACTTTTGGCCCAAGGGTTTATGGATTGGCCTATTCTTAGTCTAACCTATTAAATTTTTTTATGTTTTATCAGGCAAAAATCCATACACCATACCAACTTTTAATAATGCTAACAACTAATCACAGTGGAACCAGAAAGTTAAGGGATTTATCTGAATATCCCTTATAGGTAGACCAACAACACTGGGAGGGCCACTGCGGTGATCGCGGGACGGAGGGTGAGAATCACCGCCGCCCCCCCAGCTTCTCACCCCTCATCGCGCGACAATAAAAGCAGCTCTCAATAAGTACTTCATAGCTTATATTCATTCCTCAGGAGACAGTGAGCACATACGACCACAGGGTGTGGAGAACAGGGCTTCCCGTCCGCTCAGCCGTACTTAAGCCACACGCCGGGAGGTTAGTAGTTGGGTGGGTGACCACCAGCGAATCCCTTCTTTTGTATGTTTTTGTTCTTTCTTTCTATTTACATGGGCATGACTATACTTTTGCATCGTAGGGCTACATAGGGCGAATGTGGGTGATATAAATAGTCTGCAGCGGATGGCTACACTGGATGATGTCTGGCTATCTTAACTCTACCCGTCTGCCTCGTGCATTCCGTCGGCCAGCGATTTTAAGGACCTACCGTAATAAACAAGACGAGGCGACATTGGTGTAGTAGGGTCCAGGGACGTCCGTCGAATTATTTTTGCACGGGAATGTAGCTAGAGGGATTGGTGCCTATGTCGACATAGAATTTCTAAACAAAGACCCTTCCTAAGAGCGCCCGAAGTAGGACGTGAAAAGGGACTCGCAGTTGAACAAGCCTGAAGTTTCTTTAACGTTGGACACATTCTTCGTAGAGGTGCTGCTAATGCTGCCAATGTTGGTGGTAAATTATATGTGGAGATTGATGCTTGATAGTAGCACTGCTGATAATAACACTTCATATACGTCTCTACGAAGTCAGGGCATCCTTACAGCCTTCATCATTTTACCTTTCTTTCTATCCATAAGAGTACGGACACGTACCAAGGATGGAGTCAATAATAGCACACACATTGTCGACCAAGGTCTGAGAAGTACAGTCATTGATTCAACAAAATGCAATGCCCGTGGGACATAAATAGCAACATCAATGCGTCTAAGAAGATATCGTTAACGCTATATCTTCTATAGGGCTATTGTCATTGATCTGGGGGAGCACGAATCTTGACTGTTTTTCCTCTCTACTGTGGTGGACTGTTACTGTAGCGGAGCGGATGTATCCCTTCCTCCAAGCCCAACTACTTAAGGGAATATAGTTAACGAGTGGAAACTAAACCTCGTCACATAGGCAGACCTGAAAGCTCTCTCTTCTTATATATTGGTAATGTAAACTTCTTCACGAATGGACAGCTAGGTACCAGACGTTGAGCTGGCTGGATAAAGACACTTTTTAAAAAATGACATTCAATCTATCAGACTAGGGGCTATTGCCGTACATACTACGTAACCTATCATTTTATCAATGCTCATCCCAGAAGGCTATGCTCACTGCCATCTACTAACTCGTGCATATTCATATGCTTCCTCTGAATAGTCCTCCCATTTCTCACCACTTGGACATGGATCATCAGACACCTTCCGTGCAGTAAAAGTTATCCCAGAGCCAACACAGGGAAACACAGCCTCTGCAGTGAAGGCGGCGAATTTTTCATCCCTAAACTTGATAGTGCCGTACTCTGGTTTGAAGAAGATCTGACCTTCTCCAGTTTCACGGCATCTGAGCTTTAACCGGTACGTGTAGGGTTCGCTCGTCTTCTCTGCTTTTGCTTTCTTCAACGGCCTGCTATGTTTCTGGGCGATTGTCTTTCTCTTAGTTCTTTTTCCAATCTTTTCATGATCGTCGCCAATCTGCTCTTCGTCGGTCTCAGTCATATGCTCCTCATATATGACCATAACGCCTATCACTACACCAAAATTGAATGTAGCGTGAAACTTCCCCTTTTGTTCCGTGTTCACAATTTCAAGTACCATGTCCCTTGCTAGACTTGGCCATCCATTCTCGATCTCGTGACAGTCAACGATATAACTTCCTACCGGCCATTTATTCCTTGCCGCAGCGCCCTTCATCCGTCCGAGAGTCGCAAGGTAGTCGGCATGCATTTTCGCGCGTTCGTTTTCTCTCCTCTGTTCCCGAGCCTGAATCTCAGTCCTTTCCTTATTCGCATGTTCCTTTGCTGCTTCCCGAACAGCAGACTTATCCCATCCCAAGAATATTGTCTGTGTCTCCGGCCCCACACCAGTATCATGATGCAAGCCCGCCACCTGATCAGCAGCTTCACGCAAGCGCCCTGGACGATACTCGCTATATCGAGGAAAGGAAACCTCGACGACAGTGCTTGTCCTCGTCTGGTATAAATCCGGCCCCCCAGCTCTTATGAAGAACTTCTTTATTACCCACTCAGGGTTGGAAGACAGCACCTCGATATCACTTGCAGCAATCCATTCCTGATGTAGCTGCTCCTCTAAGGTCAGGATGTGTACGGGCACTTTGTCGCACTTGCCTTCTTGGAGGACTTTCTTCATCAGCTGCGTTCTGTTGCCTGTTAGATGGTCTTCCTCGAAAGGCACTCCATAGTGTTGTAGTTGGCTGCGGACAAAATCGGTGCGGTCTCGCAGGATCTTTTGACCTTCGCGGCTGAGCTTGGGTAGAAACATCCTTCGGAGAGAGGAACTATCTACTCATTGATTGACCCCGCGTGTAGTGCGGAACCGGCCGAATGAAGAAGTGAAACCATCACGGGTGACGGCGTTGCCATAGGACATGGTGGGCTGTGTGAGCTGGTCTGGTGGGGGTTTCGGATGTCTCCAGGTGTTTTCAATAGATTGATTAGATATGGTTTGTCTGAAAGGCGCGAGGTTTTAAAAAGAGAGGGAGAAAGTGGACGGAGGTTGCTTCCGCCACATACAGCGTAGCCCGGAGAGGAGGGGGGTGATGATGCAGTCTGAAGTAATGCGACCATCAGCTACCATTCTTGTAAAGAGTTATGTCACGCAATAAATAATCAGCGCAGACATCTCTATTCACGAAGGTCTCCAGTCAGGAATCAATGGCTCGACGCAAGTAGCACGTACAGACACCAAGTTCAGATAAGCTGCGCACTCATCATTGCACCCCGAATACTGCCTTGAGAAGGACGAATGACTGGGACAATTATATAACCGCAAGGCTTTATTACGCTAGTATTTAAATAAACATAACTATTCGCTTGAATTTCATCAATATGTCGAGAGATTGAGTGCGGTCTGACCTAACATGAGGATGTCGAGGTCACACATTTTCTGGTCCGGAGGTGAAAGTTCCGGCCAGCTGACGAAATGCTCGATGTGAAAGGTGCTGGGGCACCGTCAAGCATTCGAGATGATTCGCGCCATAAGTCAATAAGGCACGCCTCAGCTACACACTGACAGCTTTGGTTCTGTTTGTCTTTCCGACGATCGAACCCCTTCTGACCCTTGTGAATTAACATTATTCAGTGCAATGTGCGCATGACTGAGGATAACCCTGCTTTGCTCATTCTATGACAAGTTTCATGGTTGTTTCAAAGGATTGGAAAGGAGAGACAGAATCATTCCTAAAAGGGCAATTGCTACTTAGCGACTGCTAGCATTCTATTCTAGGTCACGCGGCTTGTGTGGAATGAACGTGTGATGAACGCTAAAAATAAACATACCAAATTAATCAGAAAAAATCGCCAGATCTCTGGACTTGCAGCAGGGGCCAATCCCAAAGTTCATCGTTGCAACGAAAGTCGCCTCCCGCGACAGAACAAGGCTATAGGCACTCTATAACGTGTGAAGTGACAGCCAGACCTTACGCAGCCTCGGCAACCGGGGTTCCCATGCGTCCCTCCTCAGCCAGTTTCTCCTTGTTCATGGTGTCAGGGCGGGCATCGTTGGGCTCAGAGGAGCGTTTCTCTACAATGGTGGTCTCGTCCGAATTCCTCGTGCGGGCAGCCTCTTCTAAAAGGTGTCAGCGTGTATTCGTCAAAAGAATGACACATCACATTAAAACGACGCGACTTACCAGGTTGAGGCTCCTTGGGCGGGGGGCAGTAAAAGCCGACAGCGAGGCAGATAATCATAAGGAAAATTTCCTCGAGGACGCCCATGCATAGATTGACCGTGGGGTTGGGCTCGAACAGGTTGAACTTCTCGATATTCGTGAAGTCACCCAAGCAGCCGTAGATGGTGCGCACAATAAGCAGTGGCGCACATGCGTATACTGAGTACAGGATGATCCTCTCGTTGCGAGGCATCTCGTTACGGTAGATGGTCAGGTACCCCATAATGGCCAGTAGGAGACCCAAGCAACCGACGAACATGCCCAGTGCGGCTTGGAGCATAGCGGGGATGGTGTAGGTGTCGAGGGCTTTGATAGCGCCGGCAATACCAAGGGCCAGACCGACCAAGCTGACGATGCTGACAAAGATGAAGATCCATTTGGAGAGCTTGTTGATCGAGGCGTTTCTGAACGAGACATGCCTACGTCAGTCTCAAGTCACGCATAGGTGAATATCAGGTTGCGACTTACACTCTTTGCAGCAAACCCACGGCAGCCAGGGTTAGCGGCGCGATACCCAACAAATCGCATGTGATCTTTGTGGTGATCACATCGATCGAGTCGTCAGTGATGCTGATGAGCTGACATACAGCGCCGGCGATTCGGAGACAGGCGAGGATAATGAGAAATCTCCAGCATGAGGCTACGGCCTTCATACCTTGCTGATAACACAAAAGAATGGCGAGGAAGAGGCAGGGCACGAAGGCGATGAGCTGCAACAATGCGATACCATCTTCATAGCGAAACGTCATCTTGGATTGAGGTGGGCCGGAGCGGCGAATACGGCGGGCAGATGGCTATTTTGCGGGGCGATTGTAATCTAGATTGTAAGGTTAGGGCAGGTATTGAAGGCCCTTAAAAACTGGTATGATCCGATGGAATGTATTGGAAGGATAGGATATAACGATGCGAAGATAATAAATAAATGAAGCCAACGTCCCGGGGTAAAATAAGAGAGCGGACTCCCGTGGTGGCGCAGGTATATGATGAAAAGATTGCAATGTGTTCGGGCTGTGCACTCGAATATAGATGATGGGTGAGGCATTCTATGACAATTTGAGGGCTTCGGGCATCTCCATGTGGAACAAACTTAACATCGAGCATACCGTATTAGGAATAGGTTCAAGATGTGGCGGCCGTGGATAGCTGCCGGCGAGTCTATTTCCTATTGGGTTTAGTCCCCTGAGATCTCCTTTGGTGGGTCATCTTGTGCCGCTAACCCTGTTCCGTCACGCTTTCCTTCCTTTTACCGGAACTTCGAGCTGTCCATTTTGGGTAACATTTCCCCATCCCCCATAACTCTTGTCCGGTAATCCTCCATTTTCATACGTCCAAAGCACTCTCTTACCTCGCACTCGATGCTAAATTGAGTATACGGACTACGTCGTTCGCAAAGCCACACGATCTACGTAGCTAGCCCACCCTTAAGGCTTGTTCGTCATGGCTGAAGCATTGCCCCTAAAAGTTGCGGTCACCTGATCTCACGAGCTGCCCACTAGCCCTCATTAGTGAGATTAAGCCTACTAGAAACACGTGCAATTACCGTCTCCTTCCTTTGAACAAACAAGCCTAATATCTTACTGGGGGCCACTTCTAGAAACCTGCGTTATCCACCCTACTTTGTCGTTTTCCAGCGGGACTAGCACTCTTCATGATCGTTACTACATCCAGACAATGTCAGTCCGGAGGATCATGAACTAGAATTGGGTATCTTCGTGTAGCGATCCTCCAGGAACACTGCTGACACCATAATGGCATTTCCTCTATATATAAAGGACAACAAGGCAGGATGCCTGCTTTGTGGGGATGAACATGTTTTGAATACCCATTATCTCGGCGTTTCCTCACTTTGGCCTTCTCATTCTTTACACGTCTAGCCGGCTTTTGTCTTATTTCACTCCTTTCACCACCCCAACAACATAAGAGATCAGTTTATCACAATGACCGAGACAGAGCAACGTCAGCTCGCATATTGGAAGGAGCAGCTTGAGGGAAACCAGCCCGCGGAGCTCCTCTGCGACAAGCCCCGGTCGGCCATCTCCTCTGGCAAGGCGCAGGTCCACCACTTCACCCCCAATGACCAGCTTTACCGGGAGCTCCAGACCTTTTGCCAGACACACCAGTTCACCCCCTTTGTGGTGCTCCTCGCCGCTTTCAGGGCAACACACTACCGCCTCACCGGAGTCGACGATGCCACCATTGGCACCCCCATCCTCAGCAACACCAACATCCTATGCATTCGCACCACTGTCGAGCCAGAGGACTCCTTTTATGCGCTCGTTCAACAGGTCCAGCAGACCACCAGCACGGCATCTAACCACCAGGATGTTGCCTTCCAGAAGATCGTCTCGGAGCTGCGTCCTGGTGCCGCCGACCGGTCTCGTAACCCGCTTGTTCAGACGATATTTGCAGTTCACTCGTCAGAAGATGCCAACAGCCTACAGCTCGACAGTATGAAGGCAGCCACGTCCAAGTATGACATTGAACTCCATCTAGTCCAAAAGTCTCAGCGTATGAGCGGTCACATCATCTTCTCGGATGATCTGTTTGAAGCTTCGTCCATCCGCCTCTTCGAGTCCGTCTTCACTGAGGTCCTCGGCCGTGGCGTCAAGACACCCGAGGCCTTCGTCTCAACAATGCCTCTTACCCAGGGCCTCTCCGCACTAGCCGATATGGGCCTCACAGATGTTGCGCGCACCGATTACCCGCGCGAGTCCAGCGTCGTCGAACTTTTCCGGAGACAGGTCTCTCTCAACCCTAACGCCGTTGCCGTCAAGAATGCATACTCGTCTTCTCAACTCACGTACGCGGAACTCGACCGGCAATCGGACCGGCTCGCCCACTGGCTGGTCCAGCGTGGGATCGCCCCAGAGACTATGGTCGCAGTGCTGGCACCGCGGTCGTGCGAGACAATTATGGCTTTGTTGGCCATTCTCAAGGCTAATCTGGCCTATTTGCCTCTCGACGTCAACGTTCCCGTTGGCCGCCTCGAGAGCATCCTCTCTGCGGTCGATGGAGACAAGCTCGTCCTTCTCGGTGCCGGCGTCGCGCCTCCCGCTCTGCAGCTCAAGGACGTGAGCTTCCGCCACATTGCCCAGGCCCTAGACGAGCAAGGCCAGCACTTTTCTGGCGCTCTGCCGACTCCCACGGCTTCTAGCCTCGCATACGTCATGTTCACGTCCGGGTCAACGGGCAAGCCCAAGGGTGTCCAAGTGGAGCACCGCGGCATCGTGCGCCTGGTGCGCGAGACCAATGTGGCCTCCAAGGCGCAGTCAAGTGGCAACATTGCGCACGTTGCCAACCTGGCCTTTGACGCCGCGACGTGGGAGATCTACGCCGCGCTGCTCAACGGCGGTACGATCATCTGCATTGACTACATGACGGTCATCGACCCGGTGACCCTGGGACAGGTGCTGCAGCGGGAGGCCGTGCGGTCCTGCATGCTCACGCCTGCCCTCCTCAAGCAGTGCCTCGCCAATGCCCCATATGCTCTTTCTGGTCTGGAACTACTCTTCGCTGCCGGAGACCGTCTCGATCCTCGCGATGCTGCCCAAGCCCAGAGCATTATCAAGGGTGACCTCGTTAACGCTTACGG